TTTAACTATATAACTAGCAGCCGAGACAAACAACAACTAGTACTAGTCATCTACTTCGACATATCCAAAGCCTTTGACAGCGTTGACCATTTGCTTCTAATAAATAAGCTAAACTCTTTAGGAATAAGTAACCCATTATTAGGATGGATTGAATCATTCCTTAACAATAGGTCCCAAGTAGTTAGACTGGGTTCTGTAAACTCTAAACCTAGTCCAGTCGCTTCTGGAGTAGTTCAAGGTAGCGTCTTAGGCCCCCTCCTATTCACTCTATATGTCAACGACATATGCAGCTGTTTCTCACTTGGTAAACCATTCATCTTTGCAGATGATCTTAAAGTAGCTTACACATTCCACTGTGATGACTTAGGGCACTTTCAGAAAGCTGTTCAGGAAGAACTAGATCGAGTTACTGCATGGTCCTCCACATGGAACCTAAAATTCAACCTTAAAAAATGTGGTTGGACCTGTTTCGGTGCACCCTCAATAAACATTAAACTGGCACTTGAATCTCTTGACTTGCCTAAACTCCAAAGTGTTGCTGACCTAGGACTCAGGTACTCTAGTGACTTGACATTTTCCGAGCAAGTGGCGACACAGACGCGTAAATCGAGGATGCTCCTAGGATGCATACTCAGGAATTTCCACAACTACGAGGCGAAGCTATTATTATATAAAACTTGTGTCAGACCACTACTTGAATATTGTCCATTTATTCTCAGCAGCACTCGCGTAAGTGACAAACTTAAAATAGAAAGTGTCCAATGGTACTTCACGTCTAAACTACTAGGATTTGACTGCGAAAAGGACTACACATCAAGGTGTATAACTCTAGGTATCGACCCACTCTGGATGAGACGACTGAGCATTAACCTAACATTCTTCTTTAAAGTCTTGCATAAAATATCATTCTCAGACAGCAAGGAGATACAGTTCTCACCGGAAGGCTCTTACAACCTTCGTAACCAAACGTGCAAAGTATCTAGGAAAAACTGTAAAACAGCACTCCGTGCAAACTTCTTCACAGTCATGTACTCTAAGATCTGGAACAGTTTACCCCTAGAAATAAGGACCTGTCACTCTATTATAACCTTCAAACGCTTGCTATATAAACTGCTTCATCCCAATGACTATGCCAATCACACCGCACCACTTATTTCCAAAATGCATGAGCTATTAGAACACTATAACGCCTAGACTCATTATTAAATATTACGACACTAAATAAACTCTAAGACTTCGCAAAATTACATGAAAAACAACTAGATTATGGGTAGTGTTTACTATACAATGATATACATTTATAAACATTTATATGTACATAAAATAATAATGTTCTTTCCATATTTACATACTTTATCTCCCTGCTGAGCGTAATCTTCTATATACCTCCTGGTTGAGGTCGAACAACCCAACATCTATACTGAAATGACCATTTATGTAAATTCAAACTCAAATTCCATGAACGATCCGATGCAACCACTTGAAAACGCTGGCTAACATTCTGTACAAGGAGTATTCTTGATCTGAAATAAAGAAGCAACTGGTTTTCAAACAGTTATCAATGTATTACTCAACTTACATGTACAGTCTGCCATGCTGACGCAAATGGCGCAAATGGATAGTTCTAGAATTGACCCCATTTGATGCAGTAAAACAATCTAACATTACCTTATCTAATTTTCGTATCAAAGATCAAATTTCTTTCCTATTATAAAACTACGATAAGACTGCTGACAAAAATGGAATAAATACATTATTGACTCAGAATTATACATCAATAAACTTTATCTCACGGATGCTGTTCACAACAAAGTTTTATAGGAGAATTGACTTCAAGCTTAATTTTTCCCAGATATTTGTATCACATTCATCTGAAGTCTGGGTTTTTTGTTAATGCGAAGACAATATTTCTATATCTCTTTATGTGTTACACAGACAGACTATTTTGCAGACTGTTCTGACTGACTCTAATGTTAGATTGAACAAACAAACTGTAATTTATATAATAACTTATCCATGCCTGTACAATTGGTATGTTCCTGCATAAACAGGAATAAATATATATATATATGTACAGACGGTAATCTGGAGAGCTTGGATGAAGTGAGGGGAGTGGCTGGTGGGAACGTAGATGGTGAGTAGTTCACGATCAAAGATGCTACGTCGCTTGCAGATAGCTTCTTAGGAAAAATAGAGTTAGAGTTGTCCATGCGTCATCCGTTATTGAAATACAGCTTCGATAGCCACGTTAGAAGCATCAGCAGAAACATGGAAGGGAGGTTTGACTTTGAGATGCACAAACATAGTTGCGGCTGAAGTGGTAATCTTGATTTAATGTACTTTCAAGGCTTTTGGGGTCATGTTTAGGGTTTCACACCGGAATGTTTGGTAAATTTGTCACTTCGTCTAACATTTGGGCACGTTGTGGAATAAAGTGACCTGGCTTAGAAGGGTGGGCAAAGTTTTGACGGACTTCGATAGTAAGAGTAACCATGGCTTTCTTAAGGGTTATGGTTGCGCTGACAGGTACCTCCACGTGGTTCCCGCTGGGTGGGGTGGTTTTCCGGCTGCCCTAGCTAAATCCTGTCGGGACGAGAGCTAACTATTTCTTGCCCTTGGGACTGCCGAACGCGGCCCCATTCTGGTTGTAATCCTCTTTGGAGCTGAAGCGTCTTAGGAGGCACTGGGGCATTTACTGCGAACAGTAGCCTGATCATGAAAACCGAGCGGGAAGGATTTTGAGGAGAGTCTCGTATCCCGATACCAACTGGGCAGTTTGATTCGAACCTTCAGACCGCCTCTTAGGGGATTATGTCCGAGACTAGTCTGCTCACGGGTGGCTTCGTCGGACCACGATCGGTCGTGGGACTTCGCGGCTGGTTGTAGGTCTTTAAATCTATCCAGCGAGGTCATATAGCGCAGGTAGGCGGCGCGACCTCCAGTTGCTCGGGCACACAAGCGCCAGGGTTTCACCCATGATTTAGTGGGAGCAGAGCAGCCGTTGGTGTAACTGCCCACGGTCCGGGGACCCAGTCTCTTAGACCAGAATAAACATCTTTGTACAACCGCCCTGAGAGGTGCATATGACTATTGTCTCTGTGCAGGAAGCATTTCGGACTTCTGGTGGTTTGGGATGTAGAATGTTCTCATAGGCTAAGGTGAGGTGGGTAGGGGAAAATTTAGAAATTTAAATCTCCTATTCATGCTTGTCTTGATCAGCAGAAGGGAGCCACAGGTGAGAGGATTGTCAGCATTTTAGGTGCTCTTGCCGGCTTTATCTTGATTAAAAAGAATTAAAGAATTGCCCCTGATCCAAGGATGATGGCTGTATGCTACCCGCAAGGTGGAAGTGCAATTATGTGACCAAATCATGAGAGTGGCCATGACATGCTGAAGTGGGCAGTACGTACCATCTGAGAAGCAGCCATGGTTTGGTTGAGACTGGACAGTGGGGGTGGGAAAACACCTACCGCTGTGGGAGCGTTAATAGGGTGCCTGGCATGGGGTGTTCATTTTCATGCTTAAACTTCGCTCAGGTGTTGTATATTCAGCAGGGATATTGGCTCTGGGGGGGGGGGGCAAAATGGGTTTTCGGGAATTAATAGTACCGCCCGCTCCTCCGGAGACCTTGTTGAAAATACGTCGTAAAACGCTCAAGGGTGAGCAAAGTTTTGACGAACTTTGGCTGCGGAGGGTCTGTAGCAACTACATGTAAACTCTAACTGTACTCATATGAAATTAATTCATGTACTCTTATGACATGCTTACAGAAAGCAATTTTACTAATGCTCGTCGCATTTTGCCTTTGTATTACTTAACATCAATTTTCGTTTGCCATATATATTTTTGCGTTCACCTCACGCTCTTCAAAATTTTATTTAATTAATAATTCATCTTTTCAAGTTTTCCGTTGTGCTTCCTAATACGTTGCTCGTGCCTGGTCTTGTACAACGTTAGCAAATTGTAGAACGTGAAAACGTGGATGTGCTACAGTGTTACAGTTGGAATCATACTTAGTACCCTATATGTCTTTGGTGGCCTTTGCCTTTCAGACAAAAACAGAATACCACGTTTATCAGTTTCATCTCCCAGGAAAATCTGTGAGTAGACGGCATGTGGCACTTGGCCAAACCGCCTACTATGGAATGTTCTGATGGTTCCCTGGAAACTTATTACAAGTGACTACTATCACTTATTCAGTTTGCACTAGCTAACAGAATGTTGTTCAGACACGAGGAAGCAAAGCTAAGTCCAGGTAGGACATAAGAGATAAAATTCTGTGAAGTCTGCAAGGTGAAGACCAAAAGACAAGCAAAGAAACTCGAAATGATCAGAAGGTTTATGGAGGATATCTTTCAGGACACCACTAGGGTGGGCAAAAATCTAACAGCAAGTTGACTTCAGACAAATCTCGCTGAATACAGACATGCCTTTCTAAGGATATAGTTCAATTAGGCAAGTATTAGACAGGATAATTAACGGGAACCATTTGGGCATTCAGTCTTCGTTAGTCCACGCACAGTTTATGACCCTGCTTTTGTCACCACTCATAGGTGTGGATTTATGCTAACTTTTGCAATGGTAACAACCTGGAAGCGAATCACAGAGTGATGATCTGTGACTGAGCAGGTGACAATAGGAGGGGGTCCGCAACAAAAGAAGGCAACCACTAAAACCACAGAGCATCTATTTGCTTTGTTTGCATACTGCCAAAGGACATGAAAACAATTATATGTTTGTATCTCCTAAATGCACTTCAGATGAACATTTAAACAGAGACTGTCTTTCTCAGACATCGCCAGCTGTTTGCACTTGTACCAACCAACACTTTAAAATCTTACCTTGTCGGTCACACTTCTTCTTTTGTATGCATTAAATGTAGCCAACAGCATCTCCTACTGGTATAATTTCTTCTCTTTTTGAGTAATCCTATAGACAGATACCGTAAAACATTCACGCTCTTACATTCCGAGTAGATTCTTCACTTATTCAATGTACAAGGAGAAAGTACATGTCATGTGAAAAATTACCTGACCAAATTAAAATAAGGAAAAAAGCGTAAATTCTCTAACCCAGTCTGAAGGCAAATACACATGAACGATGCCTTGAAATCAAAATACGAAGATATAACAACAATGTAGTTTTATTCATATACCAGTTTAATGTTGGACGTACACGTCCTTAGTTGAAGGTTATACTACGTTTTTGAGATGGTGTTATTCATGCTTTGTATTTTTTTGTGTACTTACGAAGTTTCTGGCAGCACATTAACTTTTGAATTAGAGGATAGATCCAAGCAGTGTTTTTATGAAGATTTTGATCAGGGGACGAATTTCACGGTCCAGTTTCATGTATGTTTTGAAATGTTTCAGGTTTTTTGATAGCTTGATTAGGTAATATCAGGTGGGAATTATGATGTAGATGCAGAATTACGGGATCCTTCCAGAAAAGTGATTTTCTCAGCTAATCGCTCGCCTATGGACACATTTTTTGTTGAAGACTCCAAGAAAGGTACTTATCGAGTAAGTTATTTTGATGCAAGTATTTGTAAAAAGTCTGACTTGTCGTAGATTTTGTTTAGTACATTTGAAAATTCAGGAAGGGCTTTTTTCAACATTTATGTTTCCGTTTATTCATGGTTATTTAGGAGTCTTAAATGGTCTAACATCATAACACTGATATTGACGTCGATGAAGCGTGTCTTCGTTAGGATTGATTTTTAAGTTTGTATTTTGCTTTATATCATGTTAAAAACGCAGTCAAGCTGTAATAATGAATGGATAAAGTAAAAGACTCAAGTTTGATGATTTTTTGTCAATCTGAACTATTTCTCCTGTAATGCCATTTTGCGCTTAGGAAAAGCCGGAATTTACTGGTGCTCTCTGCAGTCCTCATTTTTAACCTCTCTAAAGTGTGTTTGTTTTTCGACCTAATCATGCGTGTATACACTAGTTTTGGCTGAGAATTCTGTTCAATTCGCTAGTTAACTAACCATTTTTCCAAATATCATCTGGAGCCAAAATCTCAACTTCTCACAGTAGGATCTATTACTTCAACATCTATCAACCCATTTCTTCACATCCTCTGTAGGGTAGCCTGACTAAATATACTTTAGGAGGCTTATGTGGCGAGCAGAATTCTCTTTAGTAACTGAGAACTATTTTTTAAATATAAGAAATATTAGACTGAAAATCATAGTCTTATCGTTTGGTTAGCTATTGAGAAACTTAAAGGCTTACTGCATGTTTAGAAATTAGTTCAGACCTTCCTTCCCCTTTTCAAGCGTTGAAATTTCACTTGGCGATGCATTAACTTGTAGTGTTTATTGGTCCTTTCTGAGCGAGGTAGTGTCTGTGGGAACATATACGCCACTTAAACCCTTACGTCTAGCACATATTTCAAGGAGCAACCCTTGAATAACTGGTTGAATAAGATGATGTCGCGTCATATGTAGGTTTCTGTAATTTTCAGAAAGCTAGTTAAATGCAGCTGACAGTGGAGACATATATCTGAGGGATTGTTTGCGATCCTTGCATGCAGTCAGATATTTTAGTAGTCGCAACAGAAGCATCTCGTACATGGTGCTGACATTCCATGTCCCCACACAGACTTTTTCTTTTGGCGCAAGGAGATTCATCGTGCTGAAGTTTCTGTAGCAACTTTGTTTACAGGGTGGGGTTGCTAGCCTCACTCTTGAGAAGGGGATTGTTACACTAAAATATAGTTTAGAGAGAAGTGACCTTGTGGGTTGCTCTTCTTAAAACCAGGAAAACGAGGAATAAAACAATCAGAACAACACCAGCACAGGAAAATAATTCACGACAAGAAGGGTAACAAGCGACAACAGCAGTAATAATATCACAGTCAAGTACAGTTAACCAGAGAGAACGCAGAGAACCGAACGCAATGGAAACACATGGCTGAAGCCCTATGTTCCTCTACGAATTAAAGGAAACAATAATAATAATAATAATAATAATTGGTGATGTAACTTAAAGCTGTGGCTCTCAATGGTGCAGATGAATTCTCCCTTTCTGATCTCCCAGTTACGTTAAATCGTCATGTTTTCCAGTGTTACTCTTCTTTCTTTCATAAGCTTTTGCTCATTACACTACTTTTGAACTTTTTTTTATACCTTTGTGTACGATATGGAGTGTAACAATTTGAACTGCTACATTTCTATGCAAAGTTCTCTGTTGAGACTCAGTCAGTCAGTTGGTAAAAGTGAACGGAACAATTTGCCGTGTAGGCGGTTTTAATCTTCTCTTTCAAGGCTTTAATGAATTTCTATCCTGTTTAATGTTCATATATATTTCGATTAAATTTTAACACTGGGATTCTATAAACTTTCTTTAAAATATTCTTGTTGTAAAAGCTTTACTGTATTATTGTTTAATTCTGTATTACAACATTTACAGATATGTTTCAGTAATTCCTTCTCAACGTTAACACACAAAATTGTATCACTATCATGGTTCAATGGTTCTGATGAAGCTCATTGGGCAAATGTTGGCGGTCCATCAATTGATACAACAGTAAGTTTTTCTTCTTTTTCTTTTGTTTTACGTTTAAACCCTAAAACCTTTTAAAGTAGCATCTTTTTCCCCATTCTTTAGCAATAGAATTGTTAATCTTACACCCAACCTTCTCTATTTTCAAGGTTTGCTACTCCGGTTAGGCGAGCTGTAGAAGTGCGTCCGTTGGTCGGGAATAGGATCTGGACCATGTGTCTGGTTGCCTAGCATTCTACCATTATACTACTGACTTTTGATGTCGTCGCCTATTGAATCTAGTAGATTGCATAAAAAACGAAATGGTACTGTTCAAAATAGACTAACACACTTCACAATTTTGAAATTGTTTTCCAAACCTGTGAAGCGTTAGAACTTCTGATGTGTAGTGTTAACAGTTTATCCAGTTTTAACGAATATCTCACTACTGGTATTGTTTAGAAGTTTAGGAGAGGGATAGACTAATTGACTGACTGACTACTAATGGTGAGAAATACAACAGATCTGTTAACAAACTAATGCCTGTTAACCAAGATGTGTGTTTATCTGGGTTCAGCTGTCGTTTGCATAACTTTTTGGTTTCTGGATTTTATTCTCAATAGGAGTGCTATTATTCACTCCATTGCAAGTACAATCAATTGGTAAGGACGAGTCGAACGGTGTGTGTGTTTGTTACAAGCTACTACTTTATACTTACCATTGTCTAAACTGGGTGTATGTAACTCTAGAAGTTCACAAACACACGCAGATATATTTCATGAATTGTTGTGTAAAATACATAACCAATTATTGTTTTTTTGGAAGTTAATTGGTGGATGGTGACTAGCAGTGAAATCCAGGATGCGCATTTCTTCCTATTAGGGACTCCTCGTCCGGACGTACCTGCATTCCGCAGTGAGTGATGATGTTCCCATCGAGGCTTGCACCCAGTGCCCATAGTTTCAAACGCCAAACGTTATCCACTAGACCACTTGGGCCACGAGACCCACCTCTTGTGTAACGGGTCATATTAATTATTTAATTGAATTTTGGATTTTCCCGTCGATTGATTGGACCAAAGTGCTGGTTGACATGTCGGCTTCTCACTGCGGAATGCAGGTACATCCAGATGACGAGTCCCAAATAGGACGAAATGTGCGTCCTGGGTTCCACTGCTAGTCACTATCCACCAATTAACTTCCAATTACATGCGCAGACATCGTCGAAGCATCTACACAAGAATCCTACATGTCAACCTGAGACCGATCACTTCGGTTCAATCAATCGACGGAAAATCTAAAGTTAAATTAAGTATTGTTTTTTTGTTACAATTCACATTATTATTAAAAAGTCATTCTAGTTATAGCCAACAGGCCCCTGCTTCGAGTCCCGTCTCAACTACTTCAACTTTGGCAACTGGATTGTATCATCAGCTCTGACACAATAACGTGTAGCTTTGTCTTATTTATTATTATTCTATTAAAACACAAACATTATGGCTACCAAGAGCTACGCCACGCAAAATCTGATAGTTTGTGCGAAGGCTAAGATACTACCGGAACTCTGAGACCGAAGCAATTGGGGGCCATTCCCCGACTCCGTTGACTGAAGTCTGAATCACCGTCAGGAGCTACATTCCTATGGTTTCTGGTGTTCAGAACAGGTTTATACGCCTTTCGATCCTTTCGGTTTCTGAAGCGCATTTACATTATATAGGTGTTTGGAATCAGGGCTTTTCAGCTCCCCTAGCTGGGTGAGTAGACCAGTTCACTTGTAAGCATCAGACGTTCCCATTGACCCTTTCACTTTTGTGGATAATATATATCCCTACTGCGTGATGGCGGTAAACAGGAGTTAAGTGGCAGAGGTTACGAACGCATAGCCGTTTGAGAGGGCGTTACGAGGGGAAGATTAAAGTTTACCTATCCTCGGTTGTACCAGGACAGTTTATGGATGCTTTGACAGTGATTGAATAATATTTAACCGTGTACTCTTTACTAAAGAATTATGTGTGTCTTTATGTCAAACATCATTCGTTACTGTGCTGGTGGTAAATCTGCTTTCTACCTTTTTTCTTGTTTAAATTGTGCTTATATTTTAGTGATATATATGTATATACATATATATATATATATATATATATATATATAAAGCGTAGATTTCATCAAAGATCATTGAACCACCAGGTTCGTAAAGAAATATACACTAAAATTATTTATAGTCTAAATTCTTACAGAAAACCAGTAATCCAAATATCAGTTTCCAGCTCTTTGACGGCTACTGAATAGATGTCGAAATGAACTGAATGCTAGTCGAAGGTATTGGTTAAGGGTAGCAGAGTATATATCACAGGAATTGACAAAGTTAAAATTCGCGATATGTATAATACAGCTGAACTGCCAGTCAGTGTCATAGACAATTAACTGTTCTCTTACCCCACTCGCTGGGCCACCACGTTGGTTACAACTCCCACCTAGATTTGATTGGTTAAAGGTTTGATCATGAGCGTTGAGGTCATTTAGAGAAGCATTGGAAGACTTGGTAGTATTGAACAGTTGTTTCGTCCTAATTCAGGACTCTTCAGTAGTACCCACCCGCCAAGGTTTTCCAATGCTTCTGTAACTGGTATTCAACTCGTGGTCAAGCCTGTAACCAAGCATTAGGTGGGAAAATACCTTTCCAGTGTTCTGATTGGTTCATGACGAAGTCTCTGATAGTTGAAATCACTCCAAATCTCTACAATGACGTATAATTTAAGTATATACATATATATAATTCATGCTGAATGACTAAAGTATAGCTGCATTGTTAATTTTAATTAATTATTCATTTGTTATCTTTAGTTATCCGTCAGTTTGAACAATATACAAACATCAGTGCATAAAGCAGTTGCACAACAATATGAAACACGTGTATTTTTAACACGATCATTTTCTTATGCCATGGCGCTTAACGCCCGTGTATTATATTTGTCAATATTTTTAGCTATAGTCATTATTCTCTTCAGTATTGGACAAGTCTTAGTAATGCGATCATTCTTTGCATCACCATCACCGAAATCATTTGTAAAACCAGTTCCTTCTATGCCGGGCACCTTTCATACACCTGGTTTTTAAATCTTTTCTGTGTTAGATTATCCCATTGTACAACTCTGTTACTGTGTGTGTGTGTGTGTGCGTGCATCTTCACATTCCCTCTCTCTCCTTCTTCACATTGATCTCAGCAGTTTATGTGATCAGACACTGTTTTTGTTTTATACGATATTTTTTACTATTCACTCGTAGATTCGTATGATTATAATATCTTCTTTTTTTAGAAAAAAATTTCTGATGAACTTTGACCTATTATTGTTTATAAATCAGTATGTATTTGAATTTCTTTTTTTCTTGAAGATGAGGAATCACGTCGTTTTTTTATCCTACAATAACTCACTGCGCTACTTTGCTGCTATTGTTTTTATTGGCTCCTTTTCTTTGTGTTTATACTTTTTTTGGCGGGACATTTTAAATTTTTGAGTACCGGTCTTTCAGATTAGTATTCTGTGTAACTTCTTTTTACATTTCAAACATTTTACCAGCAAGAGTGTGTGGTAAATTATTACTATTATGATTATCATCATTATTTGTGTTGGTTGGATTCAATAATTGGCTATTGTTTGTTTTATGGTAGTCTTTCTGCTTGTTTCTGCTGAGCTGTTCTATGTAGATGTGGGCGTGTGTGTGAGTTAGACTGAACTCAACTATCATCAAGTGAAACTTGGCACAAAAGTGCAACAGTGTGTGTGTGTATGTGCGTATTTTGCGTAGCATTACGTCCTGTACTCCTTTATGGCTGTGAGACATAGTTGTGTATAATCAGAGATGTTTACGTTCTATCTCATGTGTTAATTGGTATATTGTGGTGAGTGATATTGTGGTTAGGTGTAAAGTGCTAGGTAAAAAGAGCAAGCCAATCGATCAGGTTGTAAGGCTGCATTGATTGAGATGGCTAGGACACGTGTCAAGCCCGGCTACCTCCTCCGTCGACAAACAATGCTAACTGGCATAGGATGATTAGGCTGGAAAAGAGTTAGGGGTGGTGGTCAAATTGAAACATGGTATCAATCTCTGAGGTCTTTGGCAGTCGGCATGGGTCAGGCACGTAGGGAGAGATGTCGACTGTCTAACTAGGATTCTCGGGTTGTTAAGGTCCAATGACAGGAGATTATTGCTGATGCATTCACTCTCTGTAATCCTTTACATATCCACTTAATCATTATGTTTTTCCATGTTATTATTCTTTGTTCACCTGTATATTTCTGCTTTGTATCGTTCTTTTGGGTCTCTTTTCTCTGTCTTCGTGTGCTGCATGGATTGTGACAACTTAGACTGTTGCATCTCCGTACAAAATCCTTTGTTGAGATTCATTCAATCAGCTTAAAATCCCCATTAAGTCATATGAAAAGGAGAAAAAGTTCAGTGAAGAGACCCTTTTCGACGGCGAATTCATTCACATAGATGTACAATCGGATTTGTTTACAGGATTTCATCATGAGCTGACATTGGTTAGAGAACCATTGGAAAACCCGGGAGTACTGGAAAACTGTTTTGTCCTAGTTTGGGACCCTTCATCAGGACGCACTCACCGGGGTTCGAACCCAGGACCTTCCTGTTACAAGGCCAGCAAGCTCGTAGACCATTCATCAGTCACTGGGACCCGATCCAATGGCTCATGAATTCTAACTTCTGCCAATTCATGACATAGCGGGATCCTCAGCCAATGTCTTCGGCGAGTATTTGTCCTCACACCCGACTTGCTGCACCCTACTGGTCACGACTTCTCACTTGAACCCCAGGTAACTACCCACCTGAATAGGGCAAGTGACTAGTGAGCATCTCATCGATATTCAAGTGTTGGTTTGTAGGGATTTGATTGGGTGGGTGGGTAATACTGAAGAGTTCCAAACTAGGAGGAAACAGCTCTCCAGTGCTCCCAGGTATTCCAATGGTTCTCCAACCAGTGTCAGCTCATGGTAAAATCCTGTAATCAATCAAATCCCTACAAACCAACACTTGATTAATCGGATTTGTATATAATTATTTGTGTGTGTGTGCTGCTGCTGGATTCAACATAGAACTTGGCACCGAAGTGCAGCAGTTTGAGTTGCCACGTTCCAAATAGCACACAAAGGTAGACAGGAAAATGAGAGAAGAGAATCAATAGAATTTAGATAAGTAAGAGTGAAACAGAATGAGTAATGGTAGAAAGGAATATTTGTGTGTGTGTAGGTAAGGTTTGTCAAGTTTAGATAGTTAATTAGGTAATACAAGAATGATCTAATATAGAAAATAAGGTTAATTAGCCAGCAACTAAAGTAAGATTGAGTTAGTAAGTTAGATGACGTTATATCATTGACTAAAATGTTTCAACCTAGGTCAAGACAGCAACAGAGGTAATTACAAGTAGAGACTAAATAGAGGTGGGTTAGAGAATAATGCTATTTAAATTAGGACTAAAGTCCAGCAAATAAATTGGATGACGTAACACAAAAGACTAGAAATTGAGCGTTGGTCAAGTCACTAAGAGTGGAAATGAGGTGTAGAAATTAAATCGAGTGGGTTAGAGAACAGGAAAGTTGAAAATGTAAAGTATTACAATTGAAAAGACAAAAATAATACTCATGAAGAGACAGAAAGAAATAGAATTTACCTGTCAGGTATTAAGACAGATTACGTCCATTGCAAGTGTAGTGATTGAACGAACTTCTTCGGTATGCAGAGTTTAGGACTTGGCAGGTGAATTGCCATTGCTTCTGCAGTTTGAAGAAGTTTGACTCGTACACCTTTAGGAAGACTGCTTCGTATTCTGTAGACGACTAACCAATATTGCTCATCGAGGAAGGGGGCAGCTCTAAGCATGTGTAGCCACCGAAATGGATGAAACTGCAAAACCTTATCGATACGTAACCTCATCATTATAGATCATAGTCTACCAGTTAAGACGGGAGATTGAACATAGACGCTTATGATCCTCCACTTCCAACGGTCATGTCTTGCAGATGTAAAGAAGAACGGAGTGATTGCTATGCAATACACGCGCCTATTTTGATTGGATAACTGGATTTCATGCCTACAGTAAAGATCATGCAAGTTGGCAGATGTCATACAACAGGCAATAAAACAGTAATAATAGATGTGTAAAAATTGCACACTGTTTTAGGGTATGTAATTCCATATTAACTTGTTTATTAAATGTATACAGAAGACTAGTAGTCCAGCGAAGAGTCGCTTTTCCGTGGCGAATTCATTTTCATAGCTGTACAATCGCAAATATATGCATGGTTGTTTTTTTTTTTTGTGTGTGTACATTAAGTTTGCCAAACGAAAATACAATTAGTAGGTTTTTGGTGGAGATACGTAATACAAAAGGCGCTTAGATGAATCGGATGTTGATATAAGAGGATAGTAACAAAAGTGATGAGTTGTCACAAACGATTGTTAGAGAAGGGTTACGTAATAACATGAATATTTTGATGAAAGATTGGTACTCAGGGTGTACATGGAAATAAAATAACATACGGGATTACGTAAGAGTTTTAATTAGTTACAAAAATAACCATACAAGCAAGAATTAAGTCAAATCAACAGAGTTGTTACCATGATAGTAGAAGTGGTTGAATAATTTTCTTTTGTATGCATAGTTCTGGTTCTAAATGAATGGCTAGGGATTCTACAATGCAGAGAAGACGGAAACGTATTGTCTTTGGCAGGTTGTTCTTCACTTAGTAGATTACTTTGAAGGAGGAGGCATTTGTTGAGATGGAATGACCAGTGGTGACGAGATGTTCGATTACCGCACTCCTTACGGAGCCAATACTACCCTTCTGCAGTCTCGCTGGATAGTGTTCTTTGACCCTTTTTGACAGGCTGCGCGTCGAACGACCGATTTACTTGGCCCCACAGCAATAGGTGAACTGATATATGCACATAGAAGTGGTCAGTTGCGGGATCTTGTCCTTTGGGCTTCTGCAGATCAGTGGGTGGCTGGAGAACAGCACTGTCAGTGTTGCCGCAAAGAAAGTTCTTCTTAAAGAACTCCTCCTAAGGAGATCACTGAGTAGGTCTCCTTTGAAGTCGAGGTTCATATAAAGTATCTTTTTTGGCACGGATGACGTCTCTTGATTTGGAATTTTCTGTTTGATGTTTTCGTCTACGAATCTTAGTGGATCCGTTTTGTATGAAGATTCCTTTCAGGAAGTGTAGTTCTTCTTGCAGGGTATCAGAGCTGCAGATGCGTCGGACGCGAGTAGCAAGAGATTTTATTAAGTTTCTTTTTCGACTGATCAATATCCAACTGTAGAAGCTTGTCAGTTGTCCGTTCCATGTGGGTTTGCTATTGATGGACCTTCTCAAAGTTCTGTCAACTCTGCTTGCAAATTCAACATCAAGAAAAGTAATTTTAGATTCATCTTCAATTTCAAGAGTGAACTTTCTAGCTGAATGGCATTTGTTGAATATTTGTAGTAACTGATTAAGATCGTGACCATCATTACATCTGGCATACAATTGGAAATTATCAATAGTTGATTTGACTGGGCCGTTCTTAAGGTTCGCTATGAAGCAGTCTGCCAGCAGCAATGGGCCCAGTGGAGATCCCATTGCGACCCCATCTTGGTGTCTGTAAATAACATCGTTGAATGTGAATTGTACATTAAGTATAAATCTCAGTAGTAGTTCTTTTAAACAAGTCGTTGGTAATCCGATGTTCAGCTGGTTTTCGTCAATAAATATTGACAAATGTGTCACAGTTTCTGTGAGCGGAACATTGGTAAATAGTGACTCAATGTCAAGAGAGAGCGCATTTTTATTCGTCACATTGATGTATAGATATATAGCTCACAATGAAACAGTACTATCATTTACTAGATGACGAAGTTTCATACAAAATTTATTTTTGTTCATAATGAAAACAATCAATCAAGCGATCACATATATTCTATGTGAATTAGTACTATTATCTGTTTACCCGAATATATTTTCCTGTGGAGCCGAGTGTAGAATGGATAAGACTCTGCTTTGGTTGAAGCTTCGCTGTCTTGACAACTAAGTCATATTTGGCATGAGATGAGACATGTCTGATTTTATGTTGTTTTTTTTTGTAAAGTAAGACACATTAATTAATTAATTTTCTAAAAAACACACATGAAAAAAAAGAGAATTTACTCTCGCTAGAGCATTTAAAAAAACAACAACATTAGATTTATAGTTATGAGTTGCTTTATGTCACAGAAAAAGGTTTCTGAAAATCGAAAGCCCTAGATTTGTTATTTTACTTCAGTTTACGTTGTAACAACAGAAGACAAGGGCCAGGCAACAGATCGTTTATTATTGAGGAAATCAACACATATTTATAGATTTTCATGTACATCATTGTAGATTATTGTATTTTGGATGTTTGATTGCATGGAGGATTTCATCATGAGCTGACATCAGTTAGAGAACCACTGCAAAACCTGGGAGTACTGGACAGCTAGCTGTTTCGTTAGCCTAGTTTGGGACTCTTCATCAGTGCGCATCCACCACAGGGGTTCGAACGCAGGACCTTCTGGTTACAAGGCGAGCTCGTGAACTATTGAGCCACTGGGACCCGATTCAATGGTCCCTGAATTCTAACTTCTGCCGATTCAAAACATAGCGTGACCATTTCGCAATGTCTTCTTCGATGAGTTACTGCCTCATCTTCAACCTGCTGTACTGAGACCCGATCCAGTGATCCTTGAATTCTAACTTGGATCGGGGTCCCAGTGGCTCAGTGGTCTACGAGCTCGCCTTGTAACTGGAAGGTCGTGGGTTTGAACCCCT